AGGGCTCTGCTTGGCAGGACAGGGCAGCCTGGGGAAGGGAAGGGACCCTGCTCCCCTGGAACACAAGGCTGGGAAAAGGGAAAAAAAAGCAGGTGCTGCTGATGCAGGGGCTTTCCAGTTACATTCTCCTGGTTTCACAACTGCTTGCCCCTCTCTCTTCTTTATTAGTGGATGAAAGACAAGCACATGCTGAATGTAAAACGCTGCTGTTCCAGCTGAAAGCAGAACTGCACAGCACAGCTCCTGGGGCAGGCAAGCTCCCTGGTGTGGTAGGAGGAAGGATTTGGGGGTGTTACCTCTCAAGAAATCGAAGCTGTGCTTGTTTGAGGCACAGTCCCTTCCCTAGGAAGCACAGGAGCTGCAGCTGTACACCCCTGCCTGCCCAGCTCCTGTGCCAGGGGGTGGCTTTTCTTTACAAACGCTCTTCTCTTCCCCTCGTGCTGGAAATTTGATTCTACAAAAACACTTACACAGCAGCTAATTGCCAACCCTGCAGTGACTTAGCTCTCTAATTCCTGCCAGTCAATGAACCAGTCCAAAGAGCTGGTTTTCATAATTTGCTGAATGTATGAACACAGCCCTGGAGACATAACATTGCTGGGATTTTATTTTTTTTTCCTGGACAACTTCTGGATCCTTCTCAATTTTGGAAATTTCTTTCACTCTACAGGGCATGAGGAACATCCAAAGATGGAGATGGCAATCAGGCCCATCCCAGGGAGTCATCAAGCAGCCGTGGACCCACAGAGGCCCCAGAGACCAGCAGGGGTGCCAGGGAAGAGATGATTGTCACGAAATTGGTTTGAAGGTAAAACTGGCGTCGTCCAGCCTGTCTGTTCGTGGTTTGAGGGCTCATCATCATTTCTCCATGGATTCCAGCTTCCCAACAAGGTCCACGCCTTGCAAAGATTTCCTTGATCTGCTGGTTTGTATCCAGAGGGCTGCTGCAAAAATTGTTGTGCTGGTCACTGGCTCAGACCACATCATTCCTCCCCACGCTCCCCCCTGGCACCCTCTTTTCTCTGCCCCAATTGCGGACTGTTCACCTTGTCTCTCCCAGCCCTTCATTATCCACCTCTCCCCCACCCATCACCTCCCATGCCACAGACGCTGCCTCCACTGCCCGTTTCCGACAAGCCCCTTCATGCTCTCTCCTGCTCTGCTCCACACCTGGCAGAAGGAGCCTCTGAGCATTTGCAATGGGGACAGAGCGGGCAGAGCTGCGGCCGCGGGCCCCGGGGGGCAGGACCAGGGTCACTCGTGGTGCCGGGGGGTTGGGCAGGACCTCAGAGCCCTTCCCTGGAGGTGCTCAGCCCGGGGGGC